CACACACACACACACACACACACACACACAACAGCAGGGCTGCTGGTTGACTCACCAATTACCAGAAATCAATTTTTCAAATGTCAATTAGCTCATGTTTTCTCCGGGCCCGTCGTCAAGACTCAATTTGCTAAACATGTTGCGAATTTTCATGCGCTGATGTGCAACCTTTTATCAGAGGGTGATTCACGGATTTGAAAAAGCTCAGAGTCACATCTTAACCCCGATGTGGTCACTTTCTGCGACCTCGGAGAAATTGCTCCGATCATCAGGGTGACACATCAGCCGCACAGAAAGCAGCAAACAGTAACAGTTTCACTGTAACACGGTGGAAAACAATGCAGACGAAGCAAAGGCTGAAACTGGTAAAAGAAGAAAGTTATGTCAGAAGCTCTGATAACGGAGTCTGCAGTTATTTTGCATGTGTTTGCATACAACTAAAGGATCAGCTCAATAATTGAGTGTAAAGGTGAAACGATTTCTCAACTGAGAAGATTAGAAATTAACTAATGAATTTGAATAATCATTTAGAATCAATTCATTTAAACCCTTACATTAATTAGCATCTAATTCATTTTCCGTAACGTTTTCTTATTGTTTTGGCAGGAAAAATTGGATTATAATATGTGAAATTTTTGCTATTTTCTACATGAGCCTGGAATCAGACTTAGTTAAAATGACATTATACTGTTTATGAGCTTATTTTATTTAATGTTTAGCTGTTCTATTGAACTGAAATTTGCTAATCGTTCAACTGAGCAATGATGAAATGCAAACTTTCATCATTAACCAGCAACTTCTGTTTTTATTAACCTGTCTTTCTGTATTATTTTATTTCTTACTTTGACATTTTATTAAAATATTTAGTCGGTTTTATTTTATTGTTCAATAATAATTTACGCATTGCTTCGTTTGGTTAGTGTCTGGAGTGAGTGAAATTTCTTTCTGATGCTAAAAAATTGTTTTATTGCGGCTGAAGTGAGCATTCTGTTGGATTTTTTTTTTTTTATTTAATAATTGAGGAATAATCGTAATAACTCCACATCCAAGCCTGATTCAGGAAGTGGGGCTCAGACTTGTTGCAGTCAAGTTTTATCTGAGCCAAAATACCCAGAGGAGAATAACAGAAACAGTCCAGACTGTGCACAGACAGCGTTGTTCCTTGTTCCTTTCTGTTGCATCATTTATTCATGACACAGGATTATACAGCATTAATTTTAATCTGGTTAAGATGCAGCGTTTCGTCTAGCTTCGCCTTCTGGCTTCTCACAGTCACAGATCAAACCCCCTGAACCCTGAAGCTACCTAAGAAAAAAAAAAAAAAAGTCTCTCCCTGCTGGTTTTCGTCGTGTTTGTGCAGAAATATACATCTTCTTGCTCCTAATATTATCGTCTCACCTTTAACTTATTGTGATGGGTCAAACGAGTCGTGTGTTTGAACGCTCGGCAGCGTGTTGTTAAAGATAAGCAGGTTTTTTTAAAAGATGGAGTGAAAGAGAGAGTGAGAGAGGGAGCGCAAGTTAATATTAATAGCTACACTGACAGTAAATGTCGGGTTTAGCACTCAGCATTCAACCCGGTACAAGGGGAAGTCGGGAGGGGAAGTGAGAAAAAGACACAGCATCTTGATATACTGTCCCGCCACCATATTACTGACCACATTATCCACCATGCTACCGTCTGCAGGCCGTTTCACGGCATGAATCGTCACACACCTTTTCCCCGTCTGCTGCACACATGGACGAGGAGAACATGCATCGTTTCATCCGCTTGATTTTGGTCTTGTAACCGTGAGCTCCAAACGTCTCGATCTGAGCAGCTATTAAAGTAACGTTCGTGTCTTCTTACCAATTTTGTGTAAATAAGAGGAAGATGCTATTTTGGGGCAAATTCTGTGGTTTTTAGCAGAAATTGAGCAACAGTGGACACTTCTCATATTTCTCCAATAGCCGCCATCACAAAGTCCCCAAAACAGGGGGGCTTACTGTATGTAAAACGGGAACAACCACAAAGTGACCCTGAAAATAGACTAACCAGCATCCTTAATTTTGCATCCTGACCAAATTAGCTTAATCGTTTTGAGGGAAATCCTGCAGTCAGCATGTTGGTTAGTTTGCACGCATGTGTGTGGGCCCTCACCGTCATGCAGCGAGTGGAGCTTCTCAAGCAGATCGTCACCTAATCCCCCCCCGCCCCCCCAATTCCCTGAAGACGTTCATGCATGCTCTGAAGCCGACTGATCTCACATCTGGTTCACTAAAACAAACATGTTGCTTGCTGCAGAGAGCGCCAGGAGCCAGCCAACATGAGTATGTGGGTCCTGTTTGGATTCTGCTGACGCTGGATGGGCACCAAGTTGGATTGGTTTCGATGTTGGCTTCTCGTATCTGATGCACTGACTTCATGTGAACGACAACTGGAAAAGCAGCTCCTGTCTATGCCTAAAAATCACAACTAGTTGGAGTTTTTACGTGGAGTTGCTCTGCATGAAATCGGTGTAGCTAATTAGTTCAATCCAGTATGTGACCCACGGATGATCCCATGTTGTGAAAACACACCTAAATGTTAACTGTGGCTCGGCTCAACTTACAATAGTGAAGTGGTGCTTCAAAAAAGTGAGACGTATCAGAATATCAAGTGGTTCTATTTTTGCTTTTGAGCGACTGATGGAAACTCAAAACTGGTATACTATTAAAAAGAAAAGAAAGCATAACCTGTGCAAAGTTAAATATCAAAATCAATGTTCCAACTATTTAAATCTTTAAAGTCATAATAATAATTACATTTAAGAAAAACAAAAAGGTTTTGCATAAAACTTTCTGTCAGGCTGCATATTTGTTCTGCGGTGATCATCGTCTGAACGTTTCCTTTATTCAGCTGTTCAGGGTTTCTGCAGGTTTCACCAAAGTTAATTTAAAAGTTACAAAGATGACTAATTAAAGATAAGACATATGAAAGATAACAACCTGCTTAATAGCTTAAGCATATTTAACATAACTTCAACAACCACAGTTTTTTCAGCTGTGGTGTGTGTTTGGAGCGCGTTTCACCAACTCTTCAAGGCCGTCCTGCGCCAGATAGTAACATTTATGATGGTTATTATGGCGATTATTATCGCTGCTCGCATGTTACGCTTTATTATATCTGCGTCCGGTGATTTAAGAAGCCTGTGGAGTAAAATAAGAATATTATGAATGTATTGACCTAAACGTAATTTTACGCCAGAAAGTCAGTTTCAGAGGTTGAACTATTGTATTAGGAAACCTAAATATCCCTAAGATGAGGCTTATTGTGTCTCCGTATCACGACATTTGTAGTTTTGTCACAGTTTATTTCTTTAAAGGTTTTAGTCCAAAGAAATGAATAAACACAGATGCATAAAACAGTCATTTTCAGCCTATTGTCTGACCATGTTTAATTCTTTTTATGGTCTGAAATTTAGATCTTTACTCTTTTTAAGAAGTTGAAAACATTCTGTTTGGGGCCTTGGTTGCTTTGAGCCAAACATCTTTAGCTATAAAAGCAGTAATCATCTTCGCAGTGACCATGCATCAATCAATGACTGCTACTTTTCTGTATCCTACTGTAAGGAAATGTTGTTATGACTATTAATAGATGATGCTTACCAGCAGAAAGTCCCTCAGTTCTTTTGGCCTGACAGTAATAAGGAGTAAAACGGAGCCTTCAGAAGGCAAAAAAATTAATTAGATTAAACTGAGTTGAATTAAACTACATGTGGGGGTCTCCATAATGTATGAAAATACTTCCCTTAAAAAGAAAACCTAAAGGATACTTAAGGTTTTTAAGTGCATAGGTGTGAAATGAGAGCAAGCAAGGCAGGAAATGTGAACCCAAGCCAATGATGAGGCGAAATGACTCTGAGCTGTAGAGGTGACATTTGACTGATGGCTGGCTCACTTAAAGCAGGGCATCTGGTCAGCAGCGGTCAGGGAATCGGTGTGTCGCTACTGCCACCCAGTGGCGGAACAACTGCTTGACCATTTGCAAAGCGAGCAGTCATGTTTTGGTCACATTTGTCTTCACGCAGCTATAAAAATGAAATCGAGGCATCATGTGCGACAGCAGAACCGGGAGAGAAGAGAGGCTGAACATGAGAAGGAAGACTGAGAGTTTATTATGCAGGTGGCAGATATAATTAGTTGGTCGTTGGGCAGATTTGCATGTTTTCACAAAAGGGAAGTTGCTCTGTGTGTGTGTGTGTGTGTGTGTGTGTGTGTGTGTGTTCGCGTTAAGGGAAGACAGAGCAAAAGAGTGGGGGGGGAAATGGTTTCAAATGGACACAACAAAAAGTTTTTCTTTTACAGTTTGTGGTTTCAGATAAATAAAAAGGGTTTTGTAGCAGATAATGCCACAGGCTGATAACCAAACATAAGTCACCGCACACTGGCACATCCATGGACACGCACACCATCACACACCTTTGTATTCTGCGTAAACTCCTCTCAAACGTCCCCGTCCGTGTCTTCCCAGGCCTAAATTCCACTTTTGTCCTTGACAAACAGAAGCAAAGGCTTAAATTTGCAGCCTTGCCCCATTCATGACTGTCGCCGCTGGGACTGTCCCAAACAAAAGAACCAGAAAGTGATGCGGTCTTGTGATGAATGACAAACAACATGAGACATTTTCAGAGCTCCTTTACTCCCACGAAAACACCCTGAGTTAAATTTAGAACAAGCAAGCACCTTTAGGTCAACCCACTCCTATGTTCAACCTCTAATTGGAAAGAGTGAATGAATGTGGGCTGGATGTATAGTTGTGAATGATTCAGTTTAAGTTTACAGTGTGTAGGCTTCTCTCTGTGACCTGAAAAACACTCAACCCCGACATATCGGAGATCGCCGCCCTGGCCTTCCTCTTTCCCCTGCTGTCATCTAGATTCTGGTCACTTGCATGTTCTGCTATCATCTGCACTTCTTCTTCTTCTTCTTCTTCTTCTTCTTCTTGTGTGACACATTTTACTCGTGTCTTTCCTGCCGCAGATATCAGGATGTCGAAGCCAGCAGAGGTTGAGAAAGTCGGGGCTGACTCACCGTTAGAAGGCACAGGTAGGGTCGGCCTCAGTTATTTCGGATAAGTCGCTACTCCTTTAGTACAGATGTGTAACAAGCATGGCATTGGAAAGTATTTGTGTAAACTGGTGTGTGTGTGAGACAGAGAGCTGTGCTGGAGATGAGATTTATCACTTTTTCCTTTGCCTCCTACGCAGAGTCAGAGCGGAATGGACCTGAATCAAATCACCAGGTAGGTCTTACTCCTCTGATCGTTACAATCATCTTCCACCTCCTTTACCTACAAACTGATCTGCAACACGAGATAACGGCTCCTAATAGTTGTGTTTGAACTCGTTTTTTACAATACAGTTCACAATATTTTGGTAAAACTGTCCAACAACCCGTCAAAAAGCGTATCTTTTGTTCCAGTAGCACTTCCAGCCAAACCTTGCATTTCAACACTTTTTAATTGGGGAAAACAACATGAATAAGCAATAATTGTTTTTATTTAAAATTATGAGAACAATAATTAATACTTTGTAGAATCCTGTTTGCTAGTAAAATGGCTCTTCTACAAAATTTCACAATCCAAATTGAGATCGATATAAATTTAGTCACGTTTTTTAATATTTTAATGTTATAATTTCACTGATAAATAATAAAACAGATTAACCAAAGAAAACATTTCGTACAACACAAAGAACTTCCCCATCATTGCCCACATTTTTTTTTTTTTTTGCTTGTGTTTTAATTTTATAAATAAAAAGAACCAAAAATATTGAATTTACTCAAAAACAAACTTGGGTAAAATCCATTCTTTAAACTTTTGAATAAAGAGCGATCCATATCCTGCTCTTGCTTCTGAGGATAGACATAAATCAAACAGACTAAACTTTTTAATAATCTACCTAACAGTGTAGGACATTGAATAATTTTTTTCAATAAGGGAAACACATGAGACTCTTTGTTTTGAATCTGCAATAGTTTATAAATCTTTGTACAGCAAAATCCTACATTTTAAAGTTAGTTCATTGTTAGCATGTGCAACAAAAAATACCTTCTTTTTTTCTTTCTTTTTAAATAAAAACTTTAATATTTACGGTCTGTATGAAACAATTTTTGATCATCCAGGGTCCTGAATATCTTTTCTTGAGCTCCTCCTAATTTTTTTTTCTAAAATATTTAAGTTGGGAACTGAGTTGTTTTGGTGCCTGTTTTGGATCCCGGTCCTGTCAAAATATCAAATGATGACCCATTACTAGTTTACTAGGAAACTAGATTTTCATTTAAAATGTCTATTCATTTCAAAGAATCAGCTCTTTGGAAGAAAAACAGACCCTCAGCATTACAGATCCTCTACCGTATTTCACAGCAGGCAGGAGTGACTGTCGCTAAACAGTTTAAACTCAGTATTATCAGAGCTCCATGTGTGTTTCTGATTCAGGGAGAAAAACGTATTTCTATCATGCATTAAGAGCAACCAATTAGCATGTAGCATGCATCTAATGGTTGTTTGGAAACTTGGTGCAGATTTTCTTCCTACGCTCTTTACCTTCATCCTCAGTCTGCTTGATGAGAAAATACTTTTTAGCTTTTTGTTTGTTACTTTTCAGTGTTTTTAAAGTTTTTTCTCTGACTGCACACAGTCATGGGCAACTTTAAGCAAGATAAGTCTTTTCTATTCTTAGGCAGATCAACACCTACCTGCTTCGTTTAAAGGGCATGATCTCCCTTCATTCGTACATTTGATAAATAGCATTTTTTTTTTTTAGATAACATTTACACCTCAGGGATATAAGTAGCCACTGATTACTAGTGAAAAGTTAATAGGTACTTTAAAAAGTAAATTAAAAATTACAAAAATGTCTGAGTTACTTTCATTTTATAGGATATTTTTAATAATTGTGGCACAGAAAATTTAGTTACAAAGGTTAATTTCTTCTTGCTGTTTCCCCTACTCATAAATGTACTAAGAGCAAGGTTTTAAAATGTAATATGTTATGTATGGATAATTTGGACTGACAATAAATTAAAGTCGTTTTTTTAAAGTGTGCATGCTGAGATTGTGCACTAAAGCGAGACGGAAAACATTTAGGAAAATGTCCCCAAGAAACATCTCTAAATGTCTCTCTTCATTTGGTCAGAAAAGCACCTGGATGCCAGACCACACCATCAACAGTCGTTGTTCGTGTTGTTTATGTAATTCAGTGTTTGACTCATTTCTCCAAGGTTCATGCGATGAAAGTCAGCCCCTTTCCTCTGTCACCGAACCTGAACAGCAGCAAGGTGAGCGAACTGTTGTGCACCGGTGTTAACGAGCCGCCCCTGCATGTCTCTGCGTGATTCTGCTTCAGAGTTTGTGCATCTTTTGTATCCCGGCGTCACGCTGTAGGCTTATTGACAGTATGGCTGCTGACGCTTTGTGCTCATTTCTAAGCTCTGAATCGCACTTTTGTTGCGTCGGATGGTCAGGCTGACAATGTGTCCACTCTCTGCCCCGTCTTCGGTGTAAACAAATTCACACAAAAAAGCGCATGAAGGCCCTCTGCTGTCACTGAGCCCAGTGATAAATTAAGTAAGTCTGTGGGATAACTCATTTCACCAAGTTATTAGTCTTCCTTTTCATTCCTCGAGAGATATGCAAATCAGTACACTGGAAGGAGCTTGGTCTTCCAGTACAAACGTGCCCCGACATGGGAGAAAAAATATCATCCCTTTGTGCTGAGCAAACACAGACTGGAAGCACTGTTGAGCGATGGTTAAATAATAACACTGTAACTGACTCTGAGAAAGCAAACTCACCCCGCTCAGGTTCACGAATCCAGATCAGTAGATTATTAACCTTTTGTCCTAAAACGTCAAATTTCATCTAAATCCTAAGTAGCCTCTAGGTTTTATCATTTTCCTTTCAATGTTTAGATATCACCACCAGCTATTTTTTATTTTTTTATTTTAGATTTTCTTCTACATTTGTCCCCATATGATCTTTGTTTTTAAACCAGAATAAGATGGACGAGTGCCCAGAAATGTCTCCAGGCCTTCCTCCCTCTCATGGCCCGACTCCTTCCCAGACAGCCCTGCAGCACACTCAGCTCATGCTGACTGGCTCGCAGCTAGCAGGGGTAAGACTAACAAATGCGCGCAGCCGTGCGCCCTGCCATGCCTTTACCCTGCTTGCTTCTTCTCATGCTGCTTTTTGAACACTTTGTTTCCCTTCTTCATCCTAACTTCTTGCTCTTTTCCTCTTCTGTACCTGCCTCTTTCTTTTTCTCTTTCTTTCTGCAGCTGACAGCTTTATTGCCAGCGCAGCAACAGCTGCTGCTGCAGCAGGCTCAGGCACAGCTCCTGGCTGCCGCCGTGCAGCAGTCCAATGCAGCCCATGCAGCTCATGCTGCCCATGCCGCCGCTCAAGCCAATCAGCAAGCTCAGGCAGCTGCAGCAGCAAATCAGCAAGCCCAGCAGCAGCAGCAGCAACAGCAGCAACAGCAGCAGCAGCAGCAGCAACACACAGGACAGGCAGGGCAGCAGGCTCAGTCCCAGGGACAGGGACAGAGCACACAGGAGCAAAACACCCAAAGTGTCCCTGTCCCGCCTCCTCCGCCTCAGCTCACTCTCTCCCAGCCTATCCAGCTCACAGCCCAGGTACTGACCGCCAGTCCCAGGCATTTCCTGATCAGAGAGGGGCCTTCAGTCAAACAACTCATCCTGATTCACCCGTTTGTTCTTATCATTCCGTTCCACATCCAGACCCACTCCCTTTTTCCAATGAAAACAAACAATTTATTAACACGCCTTTCCATTATGAAATCCTTTTCCTGCAAATATGAGTCAGTTCCCACCTGCTAACATTTATGAACTTGTTTCTCTGTTGAACAGGACATTCAGCAGCTGCTGCAGCTTCAGCAGCTGGTGTTGGTGCCCGGTCACCCGCTTCCGTCTCCAGCCCAGTTTCTCCTCCCGCAGGCGCAGCAGAGCCAGCAAGGTGGGAATGCCAGACGACTTTTTGATTTATGCAGTGTTTCATACCTTTGAACCTTTTCTCATTATGTCACATTATTCAGAGGACCGACACAAAGCGGACATAATTGTGAAGTTGAAGAATTGGAAGTTACATTTATTTTTACGAATAAAAATCTGAACATTGAAGCAGCCATATTTATTAATAATCTATTAATACTCTACAAATAACTTTTACTCTAATTGTACTTATAATGCAGCTGCACTTTAGAACCTCTTAGAGTAGAGTAGATACCAAATTATTGCATATTTTGGATCCAATACCAAGTAAATACAGGGGCAATATCAATACTGATAAGAATACATTTTATTTAAGCTTGATATGTCATCAAACATCTGAACTTAAAGTGTTTTCTGTTGGGTTTTTTCTTTGAATAATTTTTTTTTCAAACCTAGGAAAGTATTTGGACAAAGTTTAAAGGTGTCTACAAAGTAATTTAATAACATATTAATATGATTAGGGTGCATTTTTCCTAAATAAACAAAGTGCAAAATATTACTATTTGAGAGCAAATTGAAAGAAAATGTATTTTGAGGCAGAGTTGAGAAACTACAATACAAAAAAAAATAATAATACAAAAAATCAAGAGTAAATCTGAAACTAAAGTATCAGTCTGACTGCAGATAATGACTTGGTATTGATATTATCAATATTTTAGATTGATCTACCCACCTCTATCTTAGAGAGCTTAAAAAAATAATAAAAAAAAACATTAGTCAACAAAAAGCATCATGAAGACCAAGAAAAACAGCAAGAAACCGTGTAAGACATGGCCGTCCACCTGAAATGAGAGACAAAGGAGAAACAGCAAAGTGGGCCGTGATGCATTCAGGGCAGCTACAGAATCTGTTGATGGAAATAATGTTAGTCTTCCATACAAAACCCTGTTTGCAGTTTGCCACAAGCTATATGGGAAGAAGGTGCTCATTGTGTTTGCAGCTTGATGCTGAAGGAACGCTTGTCTTCAGCAGCGTCAGGGAAGCAGGTAGGGGTTGATGGGAAAATGGACAGCTGTAAATGTAAATACAGAGAAATAGTGGAAGACCACCTGTTAGAGGCTACGCTAGAGGGCAGGACAGTGATGAAAGAAATTCACCCAGAGCTGAAATGCTTCACTTACAATCTCTCTATCAAGTCTGACTGAGCAAAATGGACAAACATTTATAGACGTTCTGAAAAACAGTAGAGATGTACCCCAAATGATTTACAGTGTAATTGCTGTGAAAGACTGTATTAATTCAGAGGAACTTCGAAACACATCCCGCTTGAAGGTCACATATTATGCTTCTTTGGCCAGGTCAGGATAGGTCTAAAATTATAGATGATGAGATTTTAGCTGGTCAATTCTGACTGTTTTGTGCTCTTTTCAGACAGAGCTGTTGTACAGCGTCCTGTCACTTTAAATCCAAATAAGCTGGTCAAAGTTTACACTTGCACATGAAAATGGCTGCAAACAGATGCACAATTATACACCTGCACATCTTTGAAAAGCAGAAGTGAAGCCTCCTGCACAACCAACAAGAGTGTAGCAAGTGGTTTCTGGATGGTAAGTCAACGACAACAACAACAAAAAAACACTTGTCTTTTCCAGCAGTCATTGTAAACCCAGTACAGCGGTAAAACCAGCTGACCAAATGTGCTGAAGCTTCACTTGGGTTGCTAGGTAACAAACTGGTATTTGCTGGAGTTGCAAGGTGAGGGCCAGTGCCTGCTGACTTGTATCTTTACTTTTGGCAGGTTTTTGAAATGACAAGTTTTTCAGACACCAAAAGAAATAAACTCATTGATAAAAGAAACCCAAATGGAAGAACAAAAACATTCAAAATGTGAATAATAATAGGTCCCCTTTAGAAGATTTCTCATAGTAAAATAATGTTGAGAACCTTGGGTTATTTTTCTTTTAGTTCCCATTATGTCCTGCTTTGCGTTGTTCTACGATGATGTTTTTGATTTTAACGTGTCGATGTGTGAAAGGGTTCAAGGGCTGCTGATGCAAAGTCTCCTTTTTGACTTGCGCACGATTTCTTGTTCGTTCTCGTTGATCAGGACTCCTATCGACACCAAATCTTATTCCGCTACCTCAGCAAAACCAAGGGAGCCTCCTGTCTGCTCCAACTAGAATGGGACTCCAGTCGCAGGTAGGAAACTTTTTACTCAGTGGAAAAGACAAACCCACTCCCTGAACAAGCACGGTGAGAAAAAAAAAAAATAAAAGACACTTCCTTTCTCATTTTCACTTTCATTCATCTCATGTCCTGTCAGGTGCAGCGAGATAAGAGCATAGACGTGGGCGGAGGAGGAGGCATGACTACGGTGTCCTCCATGACCTCTCACCCCGAGGAGCCCAGCGACTTGGAGGAGCTGGAACAGTTTGCCCGCACCTTCAAGCAGAGACGCATCAAGCTGGGCTTCACGCAGGTGAGCAGAGGCCGATGTCGCGTCAGCACCGAAGCATCTCTGTCTGCTTTGGCTTGTCTCAAACCGGTTTCCTCCACCCCTGCCAACAGGGAGACGTCGGCCTGGCCATGGGCAAGCTGTACGGCAACGACTTCAGCCAGACCACCATCTCTCGCTTCGAGGCGCTCAACCTGAGCTTTAAGAACATGTGCAAGCTGAAGCCACTGCTGGAAAAGTGGCTCAACGATGCAGGTGAGCTCTTATTCAGAAATATATTTACAGTTTCACTCCTTCTGACTGAGGAGTAACTTTGGGTTTTGCCCTGCAGAGACCATGTCCATAGACAGCACCCTGCCCAGTCCCAGCTCCCTGTCCTCGCCGTCTCTGGGCTTCGATGGCGTTCCTGGTCGCAGGAGAAAGAAGAGAACCAGCATTGAGACGAACGTACGTGTCGCCCTGGAGCGTTCATTCCTGACGGTAAGATATCAGGCTTTATTATTATTATTATTATTATTATTATTATTATTATAAAATAAGAGGAAGATTCTAATTCTATTCTATCTATTTATGGCTTCAGTTCAATTTTCTATGTATTTTATATCACTAAAATTTAACAATTGTAACGTTTGCTGATTTGATGATCCAGGAGAGGAAATTACAAAATCTTTTTTTATCAAACACATAAACAAAACAATGATTATTTTGTCATCTTGTAGGTTTTTTGCAGTTCTGGTTGTTGCAGCTTTACGTCTCATTGTCTCTTGTATCATTGTCACTATTAGTCACCAAAGTTAGCAACATCTCTCAGTAACACCAATACTGAAAGCTACACTACACAGTCCCCACAGCGTTGACCTCTTAAAC